CACACACACACACACACACACATAATTGTTCGCTTTTTATTAAGGACAAGTGGGCTAACCCAGATTTCGGAGGTTTCCAGAAATCTTGACCTATTGTACACCAAAAGAGGGTTGTGCCCAACCTATAGGAGAAGTTTGGTTTCATTGGTGCGTATATTTGTTTGGTTATATAGAAAACTCTCCTTGTCTTTCAAAGAGACTGAATAAGGATCCAAAAACTTTAACTTCGATATTCTCCAAACAGCATTTATCGGGATAGCCCCCTTGTACTTAAAAGCGACCAATATTATTCCCCTCCTTGTACAAACATCAAAAGTCGTCAACAGTCCCCGACACGACATAGGCCTACCCGGGGTAGGAATACTCGCCCCTGATCTAGCGGAACCTGTTCCCCCAGCCAGAACTGGCGCTTACGTCTTGTTTGACCAACGGTCAGCAGTGTCTCTGCCGGTAGTGCTGGGCGGCTAGGTTCCCGATTATTGAAAGCTAGGAATCGTAGGGATCGACTACGAACCCAATTACTTACTTTCTAGTAATAAGATTTTTTTAGGCGTGCTGACGAAATGGGCTCCTTCTCGCAATTCAAGAACGGAGATATTGTCCGAAAATTGACACTGGAGTCAGATAAATAGACTTTCAATTTATGCCATTTTGTTAAAGTTTACCGTGTCTTTAATTATTCCGTACTTACAAATTGTACAAACTCCACCTATAATGTTGAAGTATTAATTTCCATTAGGCTGAAATCTGAGAAGTAACTCATTTTGTCAACACATTTCGGAACACCACGAAGCATTAACTTTTTTTTCAAAAATACATTCTAAAAAAAATAGAAAAGACGATTTTAATGATAAAAGTAACTGGTAACCATTCTTTCACGTAAAAACGAGTCTGAACTTTTCTTCGGTAGCATATTATATCGTGGGAATCGGTTCCGGAATCAATTCTTCGCCCAGCTCTGGTTTCTGGTGCTGTGGGGGCCATCAGAGAAGTGGCAAGTCGTATCAGGCCAGGCCAGAACCTCTGTGTGTGTGTGTGTGAGGGTCAAGTTAAGCGCTTGTCGAACCGGTCAGAGAAGACAGGAAACCCTATAGAAACGTTCTGTGACAGACAGAGAGACAGAGAGAGTGAGAGCCTTCGTTTTTGTCTTCACAGATACGGACACACAGCTACCATGAGGTATGTAGGCTGCATTAATTGATTGTTTGTGTGTACTTTGTTGTGTTTGTTGTTTGTGTGTGAGTATGTTTTGTGTGTGTGTGTGTCTGTCTGTGTTTGCGTGTGTATGTGTGTGTGTGTGTCTGTTTGTTTGTGGTGTGTGTGTGCATGTGTGTGTGAGTTTATAATGTGAGTATTAGGCGTGTATGTAGCCTACTTTTGTGCGTGCGTGCGCCTGTGTTTGTGTGTGTGTGTGTGTGTGTGTGTATGTTTGTGTGTGTGTGTTTGTGTATGTGTGTGTTTGTGTGTGTGTGTGTGTGTGTGTGTGTGTATAGACA